TATGATAATATATATATATGGTGATATAATAATAGGCAAAATAATGATAATAATAATTAATGATAATAATAATAATAACAATAATGATAATGATGATAACATAAACAATAATGAATAATGATAATAATGGATAAAATAATATAATGTAAGTAGTAATAACAATATAATGATGATGAATATAATCATGATAATGATAATGATAATAATAATGATAATGATAATGCTACTACTAGGAAAATCATAATAACAATATTAATTAATAATATTAACAAGAATAATACTAATATTGACGATCAATCCCCCGTCAATGACAACCAACATGTAGACAAGAGGCTAAGAAGTTCTGACCGTCTAAAGACGCTTGAACACATTGCCCGCGCCCGAGTAGAACCGTCGATGAACTCCTCCCGAGTGCAGTGGGAGTGCAAAGGAGTGCCTAAGTACTGTTCCGTCGGGCGAGCAGCGTCGAGGGCCAACCACACCTCAGATCCCGTTGAGTCTTCTCAGGCGCCGTCGCAAGTCGCGACGTAACTGACGAAGGGCGTGTGACGGTCAGCGCCCTCTCGTCGGGGGGTTTGTTTGATCGGTGAATTGCAAGGTGTGATCTCTATTGGCAGATTGCATACATTGTTCTGTGAGGGGGGGGGTGCGTGTTTTGTGTATATATACTGTATATTTTATATATATATATATATATTATATATATATATATATATATATATATGTGGCATTTACACACTACAATGTTCACATTTAACATCCAATACTTAATAAACATAACATATATCTTGTATATATATACTTATTATATTATTATATATTAATATTATTATATTAATATATATATATATATTATTATATATATTATATATATTATATATGTGTGTGTTGTGTGTGTGGTTGTGTGTGTGTTGTGTGTTGTGTGTGTGTGTGTGTGTGTATATGTATATATATATATTATTATATTATATATATTAATTTCTTACTTATATACTTTTTTTTTTATTAATTAATTCATTTAACATTATATTATATTTTGTATAATATATGTATCGTACGCAACACACCCATCTCCATACACAAGTAACAACAGATGCTTCCAATATATATATGATATATATATTATATATATATATATATATATTTTGTTTAGTATTAATGTATATATTATATCTATGCATACATGTATATGCGTAATGCATATATTAATTATTATATATATATATTATATATATTATATTATAAATTCATAATTACATCACATTTTCGACACACACACACCACACACATCTCCTACAGCACACAACACATCACACACACACACACACACACACACGACACACACAACACTTACCACACATACACACACACACACTCATATTATTATGTATGTTGTTTGTTGTGTGTGTAGCACATTTCTTTGTCTATTATATATGTAATGTATTTATATATACTATTCACACAGGAATACACCTAATATACATGATAAGCAGGTAGTTAGATCAGCGAGAGAGGGCCAGCCTGTGGCGCGCTTTGACTCCGAGCACGCGACCGCCGCTTCGCCTTCTAAAGAACAGGCCATGAACAGACGCGGACGTATTAGCAGCTCTCATTGATTGCGAGGATGTGACTCTGAGTAAATGTTTTCTCAGTGCGCTCTAATGACGTGGGCGAGGTTGCGGATGAAGGTGGAGTCTGCCTTTGAAGGTCTAAAAGTCCTTGCCATGTTCATGAGTACAGTTTTTTTTTTCATTGAGCGTAATGTGTGCGTATATTTGTTACATGGGGATGTGTATTTGTGTCGCACACGTAATCGTAAATCACATTCTAACATTTTCAGCAACAATACACTGCTCATTCTACAACACACACACATACATTCAACACAGCAACACACTAACACACATTATCATTCTACATCACACCAATCACAGCTATACACACATCCTACATTACACATATTTTTGCTTTGTATGAAATACCACATTAATATATATGTATTTAATTATATATATAATTATATATATTTATATTTATATATTATGTGTGTGTGTGTGGTGTTGTGTATATCATTACTAACATCATACATCACACCAATACATCACATGTATATATATTATATATTATTATATATATATATATTATATATATTAGTTTTATATATATATTAGTATTTATTATATATATATTATATTATATATTATTTGTATTATATTTTACCTATATTATTGTGTATGTATGGCACCACATTTTCCCTTACATTCGTTGTAATTTAGTGTTTCTGGTCACCACTCCCAATGCATATGTGTGTCGTACGTCTTCTTGCGCTGTATACATTGTGAAATAGTGTGACTGATCCTGCAAAGGATGGTTAGTTTCTAAAATGCAAAGGTGGTCGCAGGTTGTATACTGAACGATTTTGTTTTATTTTTGAGTCCATACTTTGCTCTCTCATTCCTGTCCAGTTCTCTCACGCGGTCCCACGCTTGCATTTTCTGTGCTACTTTTTGTCTCCTAAAATCTAGTTTTCGAATTATTTCAATTCGCCTTACGTTGAGAAATGCCTTCAACATTACTCGTTCGAGAATTGCATGGAAAATGAATGTGTTTGTGTCTTGATATTCTTCGTGTGTTGCTTCTCGAATAGATCAAGCTGTATTTTATTTTTCATTATTAAGTCTTCTTTTTTTTTTATAAATCCATGTACTAATTTTGGTATATCTGCCATCCTGATATTTGATGTTTGATGATATTTTTTTTATGT